TGTTGAGAAAGACAAAAAGGAACGAGAATTGACTTCTGATCAAAGTGTGAGCTATTTTCTCACCAAAGTATCAGCCTTTCAAGACAGAGACTGTCTTTTTAGCTCTGTACTGCCCACCCCCTTCCTTATGCCTGGCACACAGCAGACCAGCCAAGCTCCATGCCATTCCTTAGCCCTGTCTAGGATACCCTACCCGGGCTGGAACCTAATTCTGGGCCCTCTGGGGCTGAGCTGTCCCTTCCTGTCCTCAACTGCCTGCCATGCTACAGCCCTACCACCAGAGTGCTCCCAGCTGGGCCTTAGAGACCCATTTGCTGTCCCCACTAAGCCCCTCTTCACCCTTGGTGTCACAGCCTGCACTGCCCTGCCCCTTCCTGCAGGATGCTTTATGCCTCTTGCAGAGCTGGAGCTGCTGACCTGTCTCTTCTATGTTTGCCTCAGCTAAGACAGCCTTCCCAGCAGGATCTCAGGGCTGGTCCAGCTTCCCGGCAAAGCTTGGCTACTACAAGTGTGTTATCTAGTCTCTGACAGGAACGCCATCTTTCTGGGACACTGTCCTACACGCAAACTCTGCTCAGGACCAAAGGGGACCTCTTTGGCCATTCCTGTGTGTTTGAGGCCCCCTAATGACTGCTCCCTGCAGCTTCAGCTTTGGCCCAAGGGCCACATATAACGTTTGTTTCATTTGCAGAAAGGGCAAAGCACAAAACCCCCTTGGGCTCCTGGAGGACTTCCCTGGACTGGTGCTGCCTGGAGACCTGGAGCACCTGGATGGCCTATCCGCCCACTCACCAGCTACTGTTTCTCCCTAAACCTGTAGGAGGGAAGCTCACTCAGCATGAGGCTGAACGCAGGTTCAGCAAAGAAAGGAGGACAGGTGTCAATGGAACCAGGGCTCAGGTGGTGTGGAAAGAACGGGTAGAATGCAGCTGGAGCTCGCTGTGGGCTGCGTCATTGTGATGGTGGCTGTTTTCCGTGTCATTCTTATGCATTTCCACCCATGAAGTCCCCTGGGGAGAGGCCAAGCGAAGGGCGCCATGCTCAGTGGTTTGAGCAAGGGAAAGGGTGTGGTTAAGGGCTCCGCTTCAAGGAGACAGGGGAGCCCCCTGGGCAGAAAGGTGGGGGTGCTGACTGGATAAACTGGGGAGGGATGAAACCTGTCTGGCTTGAGAGCCCACTCCCCACCTGCTGCCCCCTACTCTCAGCTCTCCTCAAGTTCTCTTTGCAGAATCTGAGTGTGGCCTCTGCAAGAAAGCTTCCAGGGTGACTCTCTAACACAGTCCCCGCCCCCGGACTCCCAGACTCTGTCAGGGACTGGGGAGAGCTTTTGCAGCACAACACTTTCAAGTCGCAGGACAAGTCTGCCAATTATCAAGGAACCCGTTTACAAACAGAAATGTTTTTGCCTGTTGCAGTGATGGGGTGGGGGGTGGTCACTGCTGGGGGGGTGGGGAGGTAGTCTGCCATCACTAGAAGGTTCTGCAGGCTGGAAGGCCTCACGCCCAAGGTGGTGGGTAACTGCAGCACAGGGAGTGAAGTCCTGAGGGGGTGGTCCTGCCCACTCTCCCCACCGCCGGAAAAGTGGGGAGATGGCTTTGCAGTGGTGGGAAGGCTGATTGCTTCCTGGTGGGGGGGAGTCGCTGCGGTGAAGAGGACCCCTGCTCGGAGTGAGTGGTCACTGAGGGGGTCAGACAAGCTGAGGATGTCCGCAGGGCAAGGGATGGTTCTGCAGCGAGGAAGGAGCACTTTGAAAAGGAATGGGGTGGCTTGCTGGGGCTTGGGGTCCGAGGGGAGCAGGGAGCTGGGGTTCGCTGCAGTGAGGAGGGAGGGTGACTGCAGAGACGGAAAGCCGAGCTCGGGCTGGAGCGGGGCGGGGGCTGATACTGGGAAAGCTGTGGTCGCTGCAGTGTTGGGGGCGGCAGGCTGAGCAGCTCGGGGGCCTCTGCAGGCCGCCTCGCTTCCTGAAGGACAGAAAGGGTGGGGCCTCGGGGGCT